CCTAACAGAAAAGGAGCAAAGGCTAGTTCTATGCCTTCTTGAATGCAAGTGCCAAAGGCTAAATATTCTTTAGCAATTTTAAAACCAGGGACACATAAGAAATGTTAAGAAAGCCACAATAAATAAAAAGTTATTCTCTCTTCATCAGTGGGTTCAAGACCAAACTGTTGATATTTGGTTTGGAATTTTCCATAGCTAAGGTCAGTATCAAGTTTAATAGGTGTCTTGGGAGTTAAAAGTGCACTAATATGTTGGCCAGGAGTAGGAAGGCCAGTTAAATGTACGACATCAAGGATGGTGGGACAGATCATACCACACCTCAAGATGAGGGAGTTGCAAGACAAAGACCAAAAACAGGTAGCAGCACTGATGGCCCATTTATCTAGAGTAGATAGTCGAATGGCATCGTAAATACCTAAAGCCTTCTAGAGATCAATGTCGTACACCATCATTCGTTGAACCTATGGCCTCCAGTTAGGGTTAGGTTTTTGCCATGAGTGTAGAGGGTTAGGGCTTAAGTCCCAATGGTACCAAGCCAGCTTCGCTTTATGGAAAAGCATCACTTCAATGTTTGTAATAGGGTAATAATGAGTAACTTTGTCAGGAATTGTTGCAGTGAAAGTAGGACTTAATTTCCCTTGTGCAGAGCTATTGCTACGTAGAATGATACAGCTGTTGAAGACGTGTTGACAGAGTAGCTAGTGGAACTTAGTTGGGAAATGTTGCATAGGTAAAGTTCATATTTGTTTTCTTTGGTTTGAACTCATTTAGGCGCCATAGAAGTATGTGAGCAAAAGGGCTTTGAAGCAGAGAGGTTGAAGAGTCTAAGTGCAAAGTAAAATGGAGGAAATGAGAATATTGATGGTTTGAATTCTAGCATTCAAATAATTTTTGGTGGACCCTCTTATTCAACCTATTACTAAGGTTTGGGCCTATTTAATTACTGATTGGGCCTGTTTCTAACAGTTGGGTTTATTTAATTCACCCATTAAGATCAATTTTACTAGTATCTGCGTTTTAATGTTTAGGCCTTGATAAATGGGTATGCTGTTATGGGCCTAAATATTTATTATTATGAATCGTCCAATAAGATAAATGTCCAGACTTTAAAGTTTTCTTTATGATATTCATTCAAGACAAAATATCCTTTTGTCTCGAGAGGGGGGCATTGTTGGCACTAAAATTTATTTTCTCCGTCGAACAAGCATAACAAATATAGAGAGCTGATTCAATGGATGCTAGGGGTGAAGACCACGAGTTTATAGTGGGATGTGGGTCCCAAAATGCAGAACATGTAACAGAAGTGAAACAGTTAAAGAGGTAGGGGTGGTAGAAGCAGTTTTCTCTGTCAATTCATCTGATGGTGTAGTGGGATGTGGCCAAACGTGGCCTAGGAGTCAAGCCATGAAGTTAGGCATGTAAGTAACGTAGGACATGTGGTTTGTTTGCAAGAGAAAGAGGGGGGCTATAGCAAAAAGGCAGTTACAAACGGCTGTGGAGATCATGGGCAGTTGTGCAAGAAGTGGAAGCAACTTACTCCATGGTGGGACACGTGCCAACAAAAGAAGTGGCAGGGCCAGTAGTATAAAGGCTGGAAATTCGAAGGAGAATGGATCAACAAAAATTCATAACCCATGTGGAATTAGGAGTAACTTAACTTAGATATCAGTAGCTTTTGTACTTGGGAGTATTTTGTTTGTAATTCAGCCTCTGTGGCCAAGTTTTCCTCTGTCGATTGTTATGCACATTGAACTTATAATTTAATTCTTATAATTAAGTGGCAAGTTTACTTGTTCTTTAAGCAAATTTCAGTTTATTCACACTTGTTTCTTCATATTACAACCTCTAAAGAAGTCCTTGAAACTGTCAAGGCATAGGACACCAACCAGGATTGTTTGATCCGTTGTTGTGTGTGAAATTTTGGTATTTCTGTTGAATCTTCTCTATAGATTTGGCCAGACCAGATTTTTGCTAACAATTTGGTTGCTAAGAAAACTTCTCATTACCTCTGAAATAACATCATAAATTTGAAAAAAAAAAAAAATCTCTTACTTGTTCTCCTCTTTTGACTTCTCATTTTCTTTCCATGTTTTGATTAGGGATAACTTTTTTTACCAGTTACGGACAAGTAAATTTATTCATTTTCCAAGTTTATTCAGCTCTAAACGGTGCAATTCTCAAGTTTTATAGGTAATTTATCTAATGCATCACAATATATTTCATGCTTTTAAGTGCTATAAGCAAAAAATTAGCTCCAAAAGTAATGGTCTGGTCCCTTGCATAACAAATACCACAACTTCTATGTAAAAAAAGAACAACATGCTTTACTTCACTGGCTTTTCATCTCCAGATTTTGGGGTTGTGGCTGATTTGTAATCTAATTGAAAATCTGACAACGTAACATGCCCGAAGGGTACTCGTGGGCGTTAAATAGTTCTGACCCTCGATTTCTTTGGTCTAGTCTCACTAGTGTAATGTGAAACATAGATGAGATTCCAGATTTGACAACTTTATAGAAAATCCATTTTATTACAAAATTATTGCCACAAATGGATTGCGTCATCAGATCTTAGAGTCGCCACCTAATATTTTTGGAAATTAGGAAACCCATGACTCGTGTTAAGGCCACTGTTCGTCATAACCAAAGTTGTCTCAGTTCGGAACCTTAGGTATGAGAGGGGAAGGTCATTAATTGAGCACCTCTGCTCACCCGATCAAAAGATCGGCCTTTACTAACGATGATATGAATTTTATTTTCTTTATATGTTCATATTCTGATTATTTAATAAATACAAAAATTTACTATGTGAAGCATACAAGTATATACTATGTCACCCACTTTGGAACAACTTGATTTCATGTAATTTTGAAAGAGTTTTGAAAATGTACAACCCAAATAAATTGAGTTTGCAAATATAAAAATCAATATCATTCCAAATTAGGTGATACAACCTCCATCCACTGGCATTCGGCAATCATACACTACAGCAAAACTGAGTTTTTACGGCTCCACATTAACGACATACAGTAAATGCAAGCCGTGGTTTCTCACTTTTACGACTTATTTTTTTTACATGTCGTAAATAATTTCCCAACCACGGCATGTCTATTGCATAGGCTGTGAATGCTAATAATGATGAATTTTTACGGCTTGCAATGTTTGCCATAAATAATAATACTCACTTTTTGGTCCATAATAGTCTCTTTTTGGTACTTCCTTTAACTTTATATAAGGTTTCTTTTGTATTGCTAACTGGCTGTTTAGATTGCTAATTGAAAATGTACAACCCAAATAAATTGAGTTTGCAAATATAAAAATCAATATCATTCCAAATTAGGTGATACAACCTCCATCCACTGGCATTCGGCAATCATACACTACAGCAAAACTGAGTTTTTACGGCTCCACATTAACGACATACAGTAAATGCAAGCCGTGGTTTCTCACTTTTACGACTTATTTTTTTTACATGTCGTAAATAATTTCCCAACCACGGCATGTCTATTGCATAGGCCGTGAATCCTAATAATGATGAATTTTTACGGCTTGCAATGTTTGCCATAAATAATAATACTTTCTTTTTGGTCCACAATAGTCTCTTTTTGGTACTTCCTTTAACTTTATATAAGGCTTCTTTTGTATTGCTAACTGGCTGTTTAGATTGCTAACTGAGGATTTATTTTTCTTTTCCAAGAATCAATTGAATATTCTTTTCGATGTTGCTAATATCTTGTCTTTTCTGGGCATGATTTTCATGATTTATTATGTTATATGTGTGTGCAATTTTAAGGCAGAAATTCGAAAGTATAACCAAGAATTTACTATTTCTTTCTTGATGTAAGTTATATATTAACATTGTTGATTTTCCCTTTTGAGTACCCAACCTCTCCACTAGGAAAAGAACATAAAGATCTAGTTTCTTTTTTTCATTTTTCTTTTTCATTTTTTTGGTTTACTCATTTTTATATGCTTGGAAAGAACATATGATTATGTTTCCATGGTTGGTTAGACCTAATTGAAATCTGCCTATGTTCTACCAATTGTTTGGGGAAATCTGTTGTGTATGGCAATGCGGACAAGGGAGCAACATATCCGGGGAGACAAGGCCACCAACAATATCTGCACTACTTAGGTAGGATGCGGAGGTGGTTAGAGTTGCAGGAGTTGCAAAATAAATAGAAGGAAAATGTGTCTGCCTTCATTTATCAATTTAAGTGTTCTAAATGATACCTATTGCCCAAATGGATTATGACAATGACAGGTATGATTTGCCCTTTTCTATTCATCTTTTGCATGTGATTTATAGGGTCCGTTGGATTTGTTTCTTTTTGTGGCTTCTGGATTTCTTCTACTTTGCAGCAGTTATATGGGAAATTTAGTATGAGGCTGCGTATTTTGAACAATTTGACAATGTAATTGTTAAATCTATTGGTTCAATGAGGTATTGCGCAAAATATGATCTCAAAATTAGTAATGATGTTGTGTATTTAATGTTGCTATTTTAATTGGTGGCTGCTGCTGTTAGATATACTTTTACATGGGATTATTGCCTATTGTTTGCTTATGGGATTACTGCTTGTCTTTGCTATTGAATTTGGAGTTGCTGCTTTCTTTTTCTTTCCTTTTTTTTCTGTTTTTTTTTTTTGGTATTGAACATTTGGAATTATGTTGGTTTTAGTTTTAAATTCTAATTTAATTTCTCACCATGTATTTGACAGTTATCATGTGCTTGAATAAAATTCACATCGGAAGGTTTGAAGAATATTGGATGTTTTACTTTTAACCTATCATCTACAATAGATTTGAGTGATGACGGTGATTTGTTTGGCATTGGAGGGTGCCTTCATTTTAAATCACCGGATTGGTTGATACATTCATTTACTATCCTCATAATGGCTACACTTTATGGTGAAAGACACCACCCTCTCTCTATATTTGATGTGCCTGTTTAGAATTTATTTAGTACTATTGGATTAATATTTTATATACCTATTGCCCAAATGGATTATGACAATGACAGGTATGATTTGCCCTTTTCTATTCATCTTTTGCATGTGATTTATAGGGTCCGTTGGATTTGTTTCTTTTTGTGGCTTCTGGATTTCTTCTACTTTGCAGCAGTTATATGGGAAATTTAGTATGAGGCTGCGTATTTTGAACAATTTGACAATGTAATTGTTAAATCTATTGGTTCAATGAGGTATTGCGCAAAATATGATCTCAAAATTAGTAATGATGTTGTGTATTTAATGTTGCTATTTTAATTGGTGGCTGCTGCTGTTAGATATACTTTTACATGGGATTATTGCCTATTGTTTGCTTATGGGATTACTGCTTGTCTTTGCTATTGAATTTGGAGTTGCTGCTTTCTTTTTCTTTCCTTTTTTTTCTTTTTTTTTTTTGGTATTGAACATTTGGAATTATGTTGGTTTTAGTTTTAAATTCTAATTTAATTTCTCACCATGTATTTGACAGTTATCATGTGCTTGAATAAAATTCACATCGGAAGGTTTGAAGAATATTGGATGTTTTACTTTTAACCTATCATCTACAATAGATTTGAGTGATGACGGTGATTTGTTTGGCATTGGAGGGTGCCTTCATTTTAAATCACCGGATTGGTTGATACATTCATTTACTATCCTCATAATGGCTACACTTTATGGTGAAAGACACCACCCTCTCTCTATATTTGATGTGCCTGTTTAGAATTTATTTAGTACTATTGGATTAATATTTTATTTTATTTGGTAGATTGCGATGCAAAAATGATATCGTACTGCAAATAGAGAAGCATGACTTTGTTTGTAACCATCATGGTAACTGTGAGGATAGTAGTCATAGGTCTTTGATGGTCGCTGTGGTTCTAGATATGATGGGTATGTCAATAGTGAAGTGCCTGTGGTAGTATGGGATATAGTGGTAATAATGATGTGATGTGTTATATTGAAAATGGCATCAATAGATGTGTCATGGTGATCCTAGTAAGGGTAGTTTTGATATAGATTGACATGCATGGCTGCTTCATAACCTCTATGGTGGTGATCAACCATTTTAGGTGCTGGTAGTGGTGTTGGGCCATCGACGGTTATGAGGAAAAAATCAGGGTTAGGCCATTGATGGTGGTGGTAATAGAACTATTTGTTTCAACTAAATGCAAATTTTTGTATTTTTGTTTTCAAAAAATTTAGCTCTTAATTCCAATGCCATTTATTTATTTATTTATTTTGTATTTTTGTTTCCAAAAAATGTATTGTTTTTTTAAAAAGCTATCCAAATACTATACTAAAGGGCCTTTGTGGTCTCAAAAGTAGATATATAATTTTGATCATTTGCAATTATGTTCTTGTTTAGACATTTGCTTGTGCATTTGTGTATGTTGTATAATTATGGAGGATGAAATTGGCTAGGAATATGATGAATGCATTTTCCGAAGGGCTCATATTGGTTGACAAAAGTGGACTTAACCTCGAAACTGTTCTTGACGTGTTGGTGAGACAAAACTAAAATCTTTTTATTCAGATTTCTGTTAATTTTGAGTCGACTCTTGATGTCTTGCCTGCTTTCTGGTAGGACTTGGGTGCAATAGCTAATCCAATGTTTAAGATGAAAGGATCCATTATGAACCAAAAGAGCTACTTCCCTGCATTTCCTCTAAAACATCAGCAGAAGGACATGAGGTTGGCTCTTGCCCTCGGTGATCAAAATGCAGTATCAATGCCAATGGCAACTGCTGCCAATGAGGTAAAGCCATTTGTTTGCTTCTCTGTTACCTTTATCTGAACATAATGCTCATTGTGAGCAGCATGTGTTTAGTGGTCTTAACAATGAGCTGAATAGACAACCGAAGACATGTTATTATCTATCCTTATAGTTTAGCCAAAAAAGTTCATTGGTATAGAACCAATAAACGAGAACCACTCTAGGGTTTCATATTTATCTCTTAATCAATAGTCATTCAATTAGAGGTAATTTTCTTCTTTACTTAATCCCATATATTCCATAACCAAATAAGGAAAATGACGAAAAAACAAGAAATAAATAAAATTAGAAACAATTCCTAACAATTCTAAGTTGTCAATTGGTGCCTCTTGTACCTAAAATGTGTCTTCATTCATAGCTTTTTACTGCCTCTGGAAGCAAAACCTTGTATATTGGAGAAGTCCATCTTACAATGTCGTGAGAATATTCTTTACTACATTGAATGGACTGATACTTGGCTCAGTATTTTAAGGCATGGGTTCTAAAAGGTAATTTATTATTTCTTCTAGTTGTTAAATGAAATTTAACTATACTGATCATACATTTTACTTTGTTTCAGCTGTCTATCTCTATTGTGTGATTTCTTGCTTTTGAAATCTAATTTTGAACAATGACCCTTCACTTGTTTCTTTCCCAATTGATTGGGACACCAGGTTTGGTATGGTTTGGTTTATCCTCTGTTCATTTCTTACATGTAAATTCATATCTGATTAAACCATTCAGCCTCTTAAGACTTAAGAGTAAGAAATTCTGAGAGAAACTAATTGTATCAATCACTTGATATGACTGAGTCAGTGCTAGCTGAATTTTACATCTTCGAATAAAATGGGTCAATACTATGAGAAAAGACATGATAGCCTATGTTGAACTTGAAATTTCTTTGATAGGCTTTCTTGAGGATGAGCTGTTTCAAAATCTAGAAACCAACTTTGGCAAATGATGAGTTTGCTGTATCGTTAGTCTCACAAATGTTGGGCTCAACGGTCTTTTCTTTGGATATGGATCTTTGTTATAAATGTGGATAATGTTGCCCTGGCCTTGTACGGCAGCTACCTTGTAATTATTTGTTAGAATTGATGGAGATGCCAAACATTTTTTTATATTAATTTTCTTATCTGCTGAACTGTTAGAAATGTGGTGTTCAAAGTGTTACCCTATATATATTTTGAATCTTGTGCAGGGACTCAACTCAGAACTTATATGTTGTCTTGGGAGCTTTTTATCCTTCATGCTTGTTTGTTGGAGTCAATAACGCTTCCTCAGTACAACCAATAGTTTCAATCGTGAGAGCTATATTCTACAGAGAGAGAGAGCAGCTAGAATGTACTCTCCATTTCCTTATGCTGCTGCCTAGGTGGGTATCTTGATATTGAAGCTTTGTTTAATTTGATTTAAAACATGACCCTCAATAAAAATATGTTTAAATTGTCTGGATTGGCTGCATATAACTATTGTTGAAAGTGGCATGTTGAACTACTTAGCCTAAATAGAAATGAAAAGAGTAACAGATATGATGGAATCGCAGAGACCATTATGTTTATTTTCCTCATTTTTCAGTTGTTTTATTTTTCATTTTCCAATTCTTATATGAGAGATTTCTTCAAGTGATTGCTATATCTAAAATGAGTGGAAATCATTTGTTTTAAAACATTATTTTATACTGATACTTCGAAACAGATAATTTCTAATGTAGAGTTCTGCAACAGGAATATGGTGGTTCATAGAGATCTTAAGCCCGAGAACCTGCTTCTAGATTCCAAGTACAATATGAAGATTGTTGATTTTGGTATGAGCAATATCATGCAGGATGGTCATTTTCTGAAAACAAGTTGTGGAAGCCCAAATTATGCAGCCTCAGAGGTATGGCGTCTATGGAATATAATTTAAGACATTGAAACAAGTCAGTGAGATTTTTCAATTGAACGCTATTTGTATTTAAGTAACTGTTGAATTTCCAAGGTTAATAAATTCATCTATTTTCATAGGTTATATTTAGGAAATTGTATGCTGGACTTGAGGTAGATGTATGGGGCTGTGGGGTTATCTTGTATGCGTTTTTTTAGGCGCCCTCGTCCTTGTAATAGGAGCAAGTGGATTTGCTACAGCTGCATCTGCAGTTGCAACTGCTATAGGAACTGTTGTCGATATGTTTAGATAATTTCTTAATAGTTGTCGATATGTTTAGAAAGTTAGATATGCATAGTTTTGGATGGTTTAAACTTTTTGTATAGTTTAGAACTTAAGGATATAGTTTTCAAATGTTTGAAATGTATAGACAATTATTGACTGTTTATATTTTATGGATATAGTTTCTTTTTTGATGTTTCAAACAATATTTTGGTGGTTGATTGATGTTTTGTGATGCTTATTTATAATATTTGTCAGATTGTACAAAATTGGTCAAATAGAACCTGTTGAATTTTAAAAATTAAAAAAAAAATTGCATATTTTATGGCAGGCATAATAAGTCGTCGTATTATATATTTTACAGCGCGCAATCAACTTCGTTATTTGTCTCACCAATTAACGGCGTGCAAAAGTAGCCGTAAAAAAAGTAACGACACACAAAATCTGTCGTTAAATAGTTTTTAAAGGCTTACTATAACATGTTGTAGAAAAAGTAATAACGACATACAAAATCTGCCGTTAAATAGTTTTTAACGGTGTATAAAGCATGTCGTTGAAAGTGAATGACTTTCCATAACTGGTCATAATATGACGCGCACTACACGTCGTAGAAGGGTTTTTACGGCGTGCATTGCACGTCTTAAAAACCCTTTTTTGTTGTAGTGATAGAGTTATATCACATAAGCAAATAGTCTCATGGTAGAATGCTAAACATAGTAAGAAAAACGCACATAAACGAGATGTTAAAGTATAAAAACTTACTTATTTATTGACGTTCCTCGAACAGCTACAAAACAAAGTTAGTAAAATATACATGATCTTATATACAAAATCCTAATGCAATATATACACAAGAATGCTTCTAAAGATCCGGCTTCTAAAACATAACATGTGAAACATTACAAAACATGATATAGCGCACAAAATCATGTAATAATCAATTAAAGCACAAAGATACAAATTTAGCCAGATCTATGCATGAATCATGTATATAAAAGCATGGATGACATGGCATGTAAGATATATACATATGTACAGTTAAGGAAAGCGATTAAAGAATGGGATAGAAAGAAGCGGGGATAGGGAATTATTACAACACTTTGAATAAATTATTACAAATCAACTTAGAGGGGGAAAGAGAAGAATATTACAACTAAATAAAAACCTCACAATACACTCAAAATAAAATAAATAAAATAAAAAGCTTCATATGCGTTGGAAACCACGGAAAGTTGGTTAACATTGGAAGACAACAACGTCTTGTCCAAAAGAAGCTAACCGGCCAACTAGGCCTAGCAAAACCCAAGGAACCAACTCCTTCAGGCTACATGGACAGTGGGGCCTACTAGTGGTTGTTACTGGTGGCGGCTGTTGGGCGAGCAAGTGCCTCACATAACCATGAAATGTGCATCCCACAAGCGTCACTCCACAACCAAAGGCATTCATAGCTGAGATTGGGTTTCGGAATATCAACCATGAACATGTAACAGCAACTGAGACATTCCTAGCCATTGAATAAATTGGAGATGATTCCACATCAGGCACCATTTGACTAACAAGAGGACCTAACTGCTCGAAATAAGGGACTGCCTCTGTCGCTGGCCTGTTGTTGAATGATATTATGGCATTGGCCTTTGGTATCTTCTCCGAGAAATAACTTCCTGTAAGTAGTTGGAGATGTGCACCATTACTATGGCCAACGGAATAAAGTGGAAGGTGAACAAATTCAGTAGCTGTTAGGTTGGCACTGGGCAATCCAGATGTTGAAATTCTATCCAAGCATGCAATGAACCTCTCATAAATTTCTCTAGCAGCTTGAGCATGATCAAAGGTCACATTATAAGGCACTGAAATGATAAGATAGCCTTCATTTGCTAGAAGCTCAAGTAGATAGCTGTCTGTAACTTCAGGAACTGCTCCAATAAAGGCGCCACCCAGGAATTTGACAATTGCACGCCGCTTTTTACCGGTAGGCGGAGGGATGACCAAACAGGATTCCAATCTTTCATAAATTCTTCTGCTGTTGTTGTTATTACTACTTTTCATGTAGTTGTTTCTCCCAGTCCCAACATACCCATTCGAAGCTGTCCTCGTCAGAGAGGGTACTGTGTGCTGATGCCGATGCTGCTGCTCAAGGACTTCATAGAGAGAGAGAGAGAAAGAGAGTCGTGAATAATGGTTGAACTCAGCTCACCATCTTCATGTCTGTTTTTGTCACCATCCGTTTTTACCTCTCTCCCCTGGTCTTTTTCATTTTTGTTGTATCACCTCTTCTCTCTTTCTCTTGTTTTCTTTTTTTTTTTTTTTGAAACACTCTGTGCTTCATCTAGGTCAAAAATAGCATCTGCGAGGGCTCTGTAATTTTCTTCCTCAATAAGTTTCCAGTTTTTGTCATACAAGTTTAAAAGATTTTTTCAAGATTGGTTTCACTTTTTCTTCACTGATGCCAAGAACCTTCATCGCACGAACGGCTTTTGCCACTCTTGGATTTGGGTGCCATTGCTTATCTCCAAGCCAACGATTTTAAAAACAGACTCCCAGTCATCCACAGTGATTTGCAATAGAGTCGAATGAGAGTGTGTGAGAGCCAGATTGAAGAAGAGAGATTGTCGTCTTTTTTTAGATATATATATATATATTTTTAAAAAAAGAACTCTTCCCACTTCCCATCATCATACACACCACGTCTTTCTCCATCATTCTATCTTCCTTTAAAAATATTCTGCACCGCCCACTCCTCTGCTGACCATGATCTCTCCATCCTCTATGATAATGTATTAAAGAGCATCTCCAACCCAATCCTTTCACTAAGGGGATGAAAATAATTTTTTTTATTTAAAAAGTAAATATAGAGTATGTTACTATTCATTTAAACTCCAACTAAAAACTATTAAAATCTTTCATCCTCCCTTCATCAAAAAGTAATTTTTGTTTATTAACAAATATTTAATTTTAAAATTTTTGTAAAATATATTTAATATTATACTCATTTTAAAGGTATGATTTCACATTTTTTTAATAATGTCAATTTTATAAAAATTAAATTTACATATTAAAAGTTATTTGTAATATTATAAAAAATATAAAAGGAATAGTATTTTGGAGGACATCCTCTATTTTTCATCCTCCCTTCATATTTGAAGCATCAACTCATCCTCCTCCCAAATAGAGATGGATTTAGAGGGTGGGTTGGAGCAACAAATCCTCTATATTTGAAGATATAGAAGATGCATTGGAGATGCTCTGAAAAAAACATCCTCTACCCAAATGACATCTTCTATTTTTTTAATCTATCTTCTCATTGTGCTCCATCCCAATCCCATCCTCAAAATAATAATATCTTCTCTTCTATCTTCTGTATCATGTTCCCACTTTAATAATGTCTAAACATATATATACATTTACAACTTGAATCCAGCGGGGGAGGTCGACACCCACCTCTCTTTCTTTTTTTTATTATTTTCTATTTTCTTCGTTTTTTTATTATTTTTTATTTATAAAATATCTAAAATAGATTATTTATACTAATTTATATAAAAACACCTAAAAATATGTACAAATACATAAAATTATATAAAATAATAAAATACTATAAATTAATAAAATAATAAAAAATATAAAATAATTTGGCCAAAATGGATGAGGTTTGGGATTAAAGCCTCAATCTGATTTTTCTGTTGAGAAATTCATAAAATGACATATTTCAATTTTGATCATGGGATGTTAAAAAGAAAATGTCAAAGTATTAGGACGGATCAAAATAAGGTGTGTACATACACCATTAAAAGAATGCCAAAAAATATGACGCATTTTATAGATTTTTTTTAAACCTTTTAGATCTGGAGGAGTCAATATATGGTTGACTCGCTCAAATAGAACACACACACAGATAGATGGAACCTGGAACGGCTTGATAGGCATTAGCATAGGGTTCGGAGGTGCCTGAGGAGCAGGTTGAGAGAAGCCGATGATAGGCTGAAAATGTAGCGTTGTCAGATGAGATTAAATCTGGTGGCTTTGGTACTGTACAATGAAGATTTGTGGGGTCCCTAGCATTTTTCTATAACCTGCTACACTTGCAATAAGATCAATTTGAGCACACTAGAGGCACCCACCAAGGATCCTCTAGAGTGAAATTTTCCTAAAGTTTCCTAGAGTACTATATTGTGTGGTTAAGATTTACTGGCAAGTCACATCAGAAAAATTGATGTGACTTGCCAGTAAATCTCAACCATACACTGTAACACTTTAGGAAACTTTAGGGAAAAATCACTCTAGAGGATCCTTGCTCTAGAGGCACCACCTGAACTGCCAACCCAACACTACTGTCATTTACCCGGATCAGACCCATCATAACACAACCACCACCACTGAAACTCACATCACCAAAATCTTCACCTACCATTTCAATAATCCATTACCAAAATCTCTGTATCTACCATCATCGGCAACCTTACCAGCTTCTAGTTCCACTACCTCTTACAACTTAGATTATACTCCTTGCTCAAGTTGTTCCTCAGCCATTGCAGCTAGCCTCCAAGTCTCCAACTATCACCAAAAGTTGGCATTGCTTTCTAAATTAGCTCAGCTTTGTTAACTTTCATTTCTTAATCACTACAAATCTGTCAGAAATTTCTGTTTCTTTTTGTTTGATTTCTATAGCTCATTCTCTCTTCAAAATCATGTTCACTAGTTTCAAAATCGCTGAAGGAATTTGGCAAGCTTACAAAAGTGCATATTTTTGCCTTGCCAAATTCATATTCATTCTCTCTTCAATTTTCTTTTGCTACGTATTTCTTCATCATATAATTTTTGCAAATCATTACAGATGTTGGGTTATATAATACTTTCAAGTATGGTATGTTTATATCCGCATTTGTTTCAGATTCTACTGGTCAATTCCTTTGTTGAACTTACTATATGTACTTCCCTCATGGTGTTGCTTCCTAGTGCACATTTAATATTTTTGCCTGCCCTTAATGCCTTCAAGTTTTATTTTATGAGTTTCAACACTTCAGGTTTCCAATTTCCATCATGATGAAATGTCTGGAGAAAAGTCTATAGCATATTATTTTCACAGGACCCAGATGAGTTCTCAGAAAGCAATCTCATTACCTTCATCTCCTCATCTATCTAGGAGACTTGCTTCTGGAATGTGTGAATCAGCTGTACTCACAGGAAGTGCTGAGATAACCTCGACCTAGAATACGTGCTTGAATCATCAAAGATTCTGAACAAGCCTTTGTTGCCTTTTCAACAGTGGAACATTGATTTCTCTGAATTGACTGCTGGAATTCGTGTTGGGATTGGTAAGCAACATACTTGAAAGATAATCTCTATCTATTTAAGCAAGGTGATGAGAGTACTCTTAGTATGTGAGCTTTTATTCTCTTTCGAAATCAAATTTGATTGCTCTGTTGGGACTTTTACGTTGATTATATAAACCGATTACTTTTAGATGTAACTTACTGTAAGGTGGTGAAAAGTTCATTTGCCCTGGTGATAAATTACTGATCAATGTCATGAAATAACATGGTGACATAAACAAAAGAGGATTGAATCTATCCGACACACAAGTTCACCATTTCCTCTGCTTTTTGCCAAAAATGTGACAGCAAGATACAAAAATATTTTGTTAGAATGGATTATAAATTATTGATTGGTTTTCTATGCACCTAAATAGTTCATTGCTATATATTTTAAATTCCTAGTATGATTCAGAGGGGAAAATCCATACCCATTAAGAAATGGAGAGGGTGATACCCATGGGGAATGGAGAATGGGGAATGGGGAAAATTTATTATAGGGGAATGGGGATGGGGAATTAATATCCACCCCATTAACCCCCATTGCCATCCCTATACATTATAGATGAGGTGGTTCACTTTGGATAATGATATGAAAACAGAATAAGTTTTGGACAAAAGAAAATGATACGTTATACTAGTAAGAATAGCTTTTCTTGGATAAATTCCATGCTAAAAACCTACAGCAACCATTTATATGTGTTCTCAATGATTATAAATACTGTCACGTTATTTACTTTGTTTTGGTTCTCCAGTGTGAGCAGTTCATTGCTAATAGCATGTATGTGCTTCAAATGCTACTTATTCATTGGGCCATGTAGATGAAAGCTTGGGAAACTCAATAGGTGGGGGCTCTGGCTGTGATGGAATAATGAAGTCTGTGGAAAAGTCAAGAGAGAAGGTGGATGGGAGCATTCAAAATGTTGATGCCAATATATGCACACGAGGGCTTATGAAGAGCCTGAGAGGATCTAAAATGGGTAGGCCCAATATTAATTTTCCGCCAATCCACCACTTCATTAGCAATTAATACGCCATCTAGGATAAACCTTCCCCCCAAAAATGCTGACTGGACTTCACTAGTAATTGATGACATTATTTCCTTTAGCCTTCTAGACAAGACTTTAGCTAAAATTTTATAAATTGAACTAAAAAGGCTGATTGGTCTGTAATCACCTAAATCACTTGGGTTCTCTTTCTTTGGTATCAAAGTGATAAAAGAACTATTCAAACCTGAAACCCAGCTTACCATTCTCATGAAATTCAGTCATGAACTGCAGAATCTCATTCTTCATTATCTTCCAGCATTTCTGAAAGCAAGCCATGTTAAACCCATCTGGCCCAGGAGCTTTATTCCCATCACAATCATGTATAGCTTCCCAAATCTCTTGCTCTGTGAATGCTGCTACCAAATTATCATTTTGCCTAGAGTTGATAGATGAAAATATGCCAGAGAGTTTAGGCCTTGAACACCACTCCTCAGTAAATCTTTTTGCAAAGTAATTAAACACTACCTGTTTAACTTCATCTGGTTCCACCAACCTCACTCCCCCTTCCACAACCGAATCCAACATATTTTTCCTTTGCCTAGAACTTACCATCATATGGAAAAACCTTGCATTCTTATCACCACACTTAGCCCGCACAATTCTAGATTTTTGATGCCATAAACTCTCTTTTCTCCTACTCAAATTCCACACTAGAGTTCTTACGACCCTCCTTCTAAGCATTTCAGACTCAGATAGAGTCCTTGATTCAGCTACCAAATCAAATTTGTGATACTCCTCCTCTGCCCTCTTTAATTGAACATCCACGTTTCCAAAAACCTCAGAATTCCATCTTTTAAGATGGGCCTTGAGATTAGCTAATTTCCTCTTTAATCTGAATCCAGATTAGCTAACTTCCTTTAACACAATTCGGACTAGGCATAATTCAATGTTCTTAGCTACTACAGTTCGGAGTCATGTCACGGTTCTGAATCTAGTCTCACAAAGTGCAATGTAAGACTGATAAATCACCAAAGAGTCCAAATCCGAAAATCGTTTTGGAAAATGCACCTGCAAACCAGAAAAAGTGGTCGGCCAGCCACTTTTACTAGTCTACCGGCCAGAAAATTCTGCGCACTTCCATTTTGCTGCAACAGAGAACAAGAAGGGGCACAGCAATGTTTTTGCAAGATACGTGTGCACAACCACCGTCCCTATCATTTCATGATCTCAAGGGAGTGCGGTTCTTGACTCTTGAGCCACCAATCGAACATCGCAATGCATGATGGCCGAGAAGCCAAGATTGCACAATTCAATGTTCAATGAATGCACACATAATCACATAAGGGCCTTAGCCTCTATCATGCATGATCAAGAGGGTCGGCGACCGATAAATGTGGCACGTTTCATCACTTCAAGTATGAAACGTCCCTCGTTTCTCGTGTTTGGACTAACACCCTATCCAAACACAATGCAATGCAACATGATTCTAAGCATAATGCAATGCAACGTGAGCATGCAAGGACAATGCAATGCAACAACACAATGCAATGCAATAACATGCAATGCCACAACATGCAAACTAAATGCGCTTCTATGAATGCTAGAATGGCATGCACAAGATTCTAACACATGGAGAATGCACACATGGCATGTTCGGATGCTAAAGCATCAAAGCTAGTAAAGGGCACCTCACAAGGGGCATGCAAAACAACGTTCAATGGACTTAAACTGAATATGGACAGACCTCAATCATGCCCAAAACAGTGGCCAAAATGCTGAAATGCTAGTATGGAAAGCAAGAAAATGCATGCACATGCATTGGCCCATCAACTAGGCATAATAGCACAACTCTTAAACATGATCATGAAGTGACAATCATGTAAGTGTGACAACACTACATGCTCTGAAATCAGGTGTGAAATGATGCCAAATCATTCAAACAACACAAGCATAGCATGCTAGGAGGCTCAAAGCTTGAAACTAGCATAGACACTTGCACTACAGCTATACAAAGCAAGCCCCAAAAGGCCAAGGTGATCCAAAACAATCCTAAAACATGTCAAAACAATGCTAGAAACATGTATGGAATAGAGCTAAGACAAGCAAACATGAAGGCATAAAGCATGACAAATGTGAAGCCAATAAGGAGGATTACACTACGCCTACCATAACCAAGCATGAGATGGCTTTATCAACAAAAATCAGAGTTATATCATGTCAAAATAACATAAAAAATGCACTGATATGGCAGCCTAAATGCTTAGGGAAGATGGCATGCGTATAGGTTCATACTTAAGGCATAATGCACCAACCCTCCAAAGCATTGAAAGAGTGAAATATGTGAATGTCTGACCATACTAAACATACTGAAATACATATCAAATGATTCCAAATCATGTAAATAGCCCAAGCGATGCATGCTAGTGGCTTGGAAACTCAAAGCTAATGAGCTAGAATGCACTATGACTATGCAAAGCAAGGCATGCATGAACAAAACAACATAAAACAGAGCTCAAGCATGGTAAAACATGAGTGAAAGCTTTCTGGAGTAGAGCCAAAATCATGCTAGAATAATGGTCCAAAGCATGATGCATGTTAGGCTAGTGAATGGAAATGCACTACAAGTGCAAGGAGCATGTAAGAGGCTATCAAACCAAACCAAAACAGAGCTAAGGCATGGCTAAACAACACCAAAAACATGCTGAGATAGGGCCAGAACATGCTAGAAAGGTGAGCTAAAACCTTAAGCACTCAAAGCTAGTATGCAAAATTTACACTACAAGTGTACAATGCATGCAAGGCGTGACTCAACCAAGCTAAAACAGAGGTATGCTATGTCAAAATAACCCCAAAAACAAGTTGAGAACAAGCCATCACATGCTAGAAAACCAAGCTCAAACATGAGGCCAAAATGGCAAGCAACCAAGATACAAGCAGAGGGGATGACCCCCTCCTATTTGGGACCTCAAAACACCCTTTCCACCACTAAAATTCCTCTGAGTTTCAGTGGTGAGAAGGCCAAAAAGAGGTGATCCCAATAGCTTAAAAGGATAGCACAAAAACAAAGCCAAACAAGGCACAAGAGGGGGTAGACCACCCCCAACATCAAAGAGACCTCAAACAAACATGTTAAGCACTAAAAATCAGAACTTTTTGCAGTAGGAAGTTAGGCCTAAAACATCATGCAAATAGGGCCAAAAGCTTAATCAAAAGCAAAGGTTTAAGGGGTTAGAAACTCACCCTTGTAGAACACTTTCAAAGCTGCAACTCCAGCAACTTTTTTTGACCAAAAACAATCCAAAAACACGAAAATCAGCTTCTAGGTGCCTCAGCTCCAAGAGTATGGTGTTTGAGTAGGTGTTTGTGTGCAAAAATGTGAAGAAAAGGCACTTTCAAGCACAAATGTAGAGCAAGAAAGAAATATAGAGATAAAGATGTATGTATATTTCTTAGCCAACTTTTTCTGAACCTGGAGAAGGGAGAGAGGACCTCCCTTTCATAGAAAATCAAGCAACAAGCTTGTTGAGGAAGCTAAGAGCTCCAAGCCATCCCTCCATACACGTGCATGGAGGAAGGTTTCTGTGCTCACCAGCTATCACAGTTGACAGGAAAATATCTGCAGGAAACTGAAGAAAAGTTGCCGACCACTTACTTACACTGGTTGGCCGACCACCACAAGTGGTCTGCAAGGAGACCAACTGGTCAGCAGTGGGGGAGGAAGGTGGTCTGCACACAAAAAGCAAGGTGGTGGCATGGTTGCCGAGGTGGTCCAAAGACCACCAAGACGAGTTGGCTGACCAGAAAACTGGCTGCGGGGAAGAAAAGTGGTTTTCAGGGAGAGAAACTGGTCTACAACCCCTATTCCACCCTCCAAGCAAGAAAAACAAGGTTTGTGCCAAAAACAAACCAAAAAGGATGAAAGACGAAAGTCCACGGGACAAGGCGCGCAGCCGGAAGCCTCGAAAACTAGTCTACGAGAACAGAAAGTGGTCTACAGGAGGGAAAAGTGGTCTACGGACCACAAAAAGTGGTCTACAAGACCTCTGTGCCCCCCTCTAGACCAAGGCAACAAGGCATGGTCCGAAAACCAGGCTAAGAGGAGAACGTTAAGCGGTCCCGGGACAAGGCACGCGGCCGAAGGCTCCGGAAACCGAAAACTAGTCTCCATGAGGGAAAAGTGGTCTACAGACCTCTCTCTCTCCCTCTAAGGAAGGTCAACAAGGCTTGGTCCACAAACTGAGCCAAAACACAAAGAGTTCAGAGGCCCGGAGGCAAGGCAAGACACTCAGCCAAAAACTCCGGAAACTCAAAACAAGCACAAATATGCGCGATCATCGAGCGCTCAATCGATGACGTCTGAGTCTTAAGGTCAGTAAAAAATGGGGTGTCTACACCTCCTGTTAACTACATCATTTGAGGCATAAATATTAACTATAGTGCATTTAAAATCCACTCTAGCAATTCCTGAAAGCATAACAAACTGCCTTGAGTTGTAGCACTCCTCAAGTCTGAATCTATCTGGATTCCAAATGCATAACAAACCTCTTGCAGTACCTTCTGCATCCACCCCCATGAACTCCATCTTTTCAAATGGCCACATCTGCTTAATGAACTCTTCATCCATGCTACTCCTTTTTGTTTCTTGTAATAACACTACATCCATTCCTCCCTCTTTTATCATTGCCTTTATTTTCCTCCTTTTTTTTGGTCTTGTTAGACCTCTAACATTCCATGTCATTATCTTCATAAGGAACCAAATATTACACCTGCTCCCTTGCATTAGCTGCTTAGATTTCAACAGCCATTCCTTTGTTGTTCTGCCTTTGCCTTTGCTGTTCTGCAGTTGTGCTTTACAATTACTGCTATGTTTGTTTCTCTTCTTCTTTTTTTTTCTGTTTCGATTGGTTCTTCCCCAATCTTGGGTTTTGTCCCATCTTTGTTGTTGTAAGGTGGAATATTTTCTACTTTCTTCATCAATAAAGTTGTTTACTTATCAAAAAAAAAAACGCTACTTATTCATTATTTATCAAACACAAAAATTTGGTATGCACTGCCCTATCAAAAGTCTGCAAAGAAAATCTAAAATTTGTGAAAACACTTATATTAAATACACTATTTTTGTTATTATTGTATAGTCTACAACTGATGAGACTACATTATACTTCATACTGCACACAAAAATGCATTTTAGGAACTCGTGCATTATTTTTACTAAGACCGCCCATTACAAAAAAATTAAGGTTTTAGAGACTAAAATTTAAGGACAAAATTATTTTTTAGGGACCAAATATTTTTATTGCAAAAAGTGTCGTTATTATATTTTTAGCAACAAAAATTAGACATTAGTTATGAATTATTATCTTTTTGGGACCAAATTTTTTTGTCTCAAAAAATAAATCATTTTGAGACCAAATTATTTTGTCTCTAAAAGTGTATTTATTAGTGACATTTTCAAAATTTTGTCGCTAAAAGCCTTATCTCTGACTTTTCAGGACGACCTTTTAGTAACTATCCTTACGACGATAGAAATTGGTCCCTAAATGTCTTTTGTAACAAAATTTTCACTTTAGAGACCAATAAATTTGATCTCTAAAACTCTTATATGTTGTGGTGACCTTTCCACTTCACATTTCAATTTTAAATCGCCTTATGTTAATAGAGTTCTAATTATACTATACAAAATACATTTTAATGGAGAACTTCACATTTAAGTCCATGTTTGTATTTTAGTTTTGTCCATGTTTTTATTCTAGAATACTTGTACATCATATATATTAAGACAGCCTGGCGGCAGCTACATTAAATTCTTGCATCGTCTCTTGGTGATTAGAACTGTCTCTACTTTGTGACTCTCTCACTAAAGAAACATGATTTTGTTGCTTATCATCCTGGTCCTCTATGTCCCTTTCAAATGAGCCCGCATTATTTTCGTAAAACTTGAATTGAACGCTAAACCTTTAACCCCATAAATAGATTTTTGGCAACCTATAAACATCAAAATGTGACATTTGTGTTAGGTACTTAACTTTCAGAATTTTTTTTTTTTTTTGAATCTTCTAGGGTTTTCTGGAGAAGTTTTTTGTGGCATTTGGAATGGGACAAATGTTTCCATTAAAGTTTTTCTTGAACAAGATTTAACTGTTGAGAACATCGAAGACTTCTGCAATGAAATATCTATTCGAAGGTTTTTTTTAATTGATCTATTTGCAATCGTAGCTTCTCATATTTCCCCTCCTCCACTTTGTTCTTGTCCATGCGGTTGACGTTTTCTTTTCTTTTCTTTTCTTCTTTTCATACACAACCAGCTATGCCACCCAAACAGTAATGCCCTGCATTTGTTTGATCAACTTAACTCTGCCATATTATGTTTACACTTTACACTGTAGGATTTGTGAATGGAAAAAACACTGAATTTTTTCTTTTGATGTTCATATCAGAAATAATTATAGTGCAGTGATATGAAGAAAATAATACATTTTTTTGCAATTATTTTATTCCTTGGTGCTTGCACAAAGCCTCCTCGGCTGTCCATGGTGACTGAATACATGGAAATGGGATCATTGTATCATTTAATCCATGTGAGTGGGCTAAAAAGAAAAGACTCAACTGGAGAAGGAGAGTGAAAATGATATGTGATATATGCAGGTGCATTTGACCATCACCTTTTCCATTGCACTACCTCAATGACATTGCAAATTTATGTTGGTGCTACTGCTAAATAAGTAGCTTATGGTTGCTTTTGGAGCTCAATATATTTTCTAATGCATCTAGGGAGCCAAGTATGCCTGCCAATGGATCCATTTTTATCCAAATCCGACCTGATAATTAATTGGGTTACTTATTCTAATTAATTATATTTCATTAATATTATCCTTGGATCTTGAATTTGATTAAAAAAAAAAAAAAAAAAAAAAAGAGGAAAGTAAAATGATATTTTGCTTTCCAAGTCCCAAACAGTATAACAAAATTTGCTTGTATATTCTCATGTGCATCTTTGAAAACTTGTGATACATTAATCTTTCCATTTGTTTTACGTAAACAAAAGCTTGCCAAGTTCTACAGATACTGCTAAATCTGAATAAAGGCTTTGAGAGAAATACTCGGCATATTGTTTGACATTGTTTTTCTTTTTAATGTTTTCATTTTTTAGAAAGCATTGAAATTTGATGTGTAGATTTTTCTCAATGGCTTGTTTGTTTCATCGCAAATTCTATCAAAGAGTAACTGCTTGCCCTGATCATGTGTACGTATTTTGGAAGTTAGCTTTGGGATTCTTTCCTTCTGGTTCAATAGGCTAACTAGAATATTTAGAACTATATGTCAAATTTAATTAAAACTTTATTTGAATGAAAATAATTAAAATAAATTAATTAGACTTGATTAGAATTAAGTTTAATTATTTAGCTCTTGTTATGTGATAAAATCTTCTTGTTATGCGATGAAATCTTCTTGTTAGTGCTTCTTCAAGTTTTAAGCACTATTTATAAGTATTGGGTAAAAATTCTTCAATTTGTGTTTACTTTGATGAATTTGATTGCAGTTTATGTTTTGATGCAGGCATGTAGACCAGTGAAGACTACAACTTCTATGCTAAAACATGTTTTTTTTGCATATTTTAGTTTGTGGTTAATGTTAAAACATGATTTTTGGACATGTTATTTTGTGGGTAATGTTAAAACATCATTTGTGGATATGTTATTTTGTGGGTAATGGTGATTGGATATTAAATTGAATGGAAAAGTGAATTAATGATACGTTTGATATTTGAATGGGAGTTATTATTTCATATTAGTGCTATTCAATTTTACTACAAGTATTTTTTTAGTTTAATCACATAAAATTAGCACAATTTCAAAAAAAAAAAAAAGAAGAAAAAAAAGAGGATATCACGGCATCTCTAAAACGCCACTTAAACCCTAAATACTAACGGTCAGATTTTTTAAAAAAGATGTTACGGCGTTTAAAAAACGTCGCTAAATATTATAGTGACGTCATGAAATTGTTAGGTAGGACATTTGGCGGCATTTTAAAAAATGTCGCCTTTACTAATATAACTGATTGCAGTTTATGTTTTGATGCAGGCATGTAGACCAGTGAAGACTACAACTTCTATGCTAAAACATGTTTTTTTGCATATTTTAGTTTGTGGTTAATGTTAAAACATGATTTTTGGATATGTTATTTTGTGGGTAATGTTAAAACATCATTTGTGGATATGTTATTTTGTGGGTAATGGTGATTGGATATTAAATTGAATGGAAAAGTGAATTAATGATACGTTTGATATTTGAATGGGAGTTATTATTTCATATTAGTGCTATTCAATTTTACTACAAGTATTTTTTTAGTTTAATCACATAAAATTAGCACAATTTCAAAAAAAAAAAAAGAAGAAAAAAAAGAGGATATCACGGCATCTCTAAAACGCCACTTAAACCCTAAATACTAACGGTCAGATTTTTTAAAAAAGATGTTACGGCGTTTAAAAAACGTCGCTAAATATTATAGTGACGTCATGAAATTGTTAGGTAGGACATTTGGCGGCATTTTAAAAAATGTCGCCTTTACTAATATAATGACGTTTTTAAAAGCCATAAAGCTATAACGACGATTACGTTTTCGACGTTTGGTACTAAACATCACAAAAAGAATTAGTGACGTTTTTTTACACCTATAGCACCATTTTTTAAACGCCGCTAAATGAGGATTTTCCAACAATGTTACATTTGTATTCTTTCAAACCCTAACTCTACTCTGGCCCTATTTGCTGGAGTTTGTTTTTTGTTAAAAACTGATAATCAAAAAGCAGAAGTTAAAAGTACTCCTACCCCAGTTTTCAAATAATTAGCTTTTTTTAAACTTATTTAAGTTATTTCTGCCTAATAAGCTATAAGCAGAAACTGCCTCAAACAGTCTGGCACAGACTCCTAAATCAAAATAAGTTATAATCACCCCCAAAAAGATGTAACAAACAGTCCCTCTATATGCTATACCCCAACCGCCACCTTCAACCATCACCATAGTCAACTTTAGTGAACGGAGGCAACTTGTGCACTCGAAACAAATTTAATTGTCTTGAAAACTAATTCAAACAACAATTGGTAACTTATCTAGGCTCAATCTCTTAACATAATATCTTCAACTTAAATAGAATCCAAGTAAATTCCATGTTGCACAATTAATAATTATATTGTTAGTGCACAATGCTGCTTTCTATGGCTGTTCTAAAAATAGACATGTGGAGCGTGATATCGAATGTCATAAAAGGCATGAGTGAAAGCTTCCCCAGCATCAATTGATTTTAGAAGAGATGGTGGAACTCGATTCAGTAAGCAATTTCAGAGCCAAGCTGTCATGGGTTCATGCGCAAAAGCATCATCACGATCTAAAAATAAGCGTGTTGAGCGCAATATCGAATATCATTAAAGACATACACTACAAGAAATTTTACTTTTGGTGACTAAAATCTTAGTCACCAAAAGCCTTATTTTAGTCGCCAATCACTTTTATCGACTAATATATTTGGTCGCCAATAGTTAGTCAGGGAAGACAATCGGCGACTAAAATTTTTTTGGTAGCCAAAAGTGACCTATTGGCGATATATTTTTTAAAAATAATTAAATA